TTTAGAAACTATCTGCAGAAAACTGCTAATGTACGATGTTACACCCGCACATTCCGCACATTGAATTTTATACACTGGTAATTACACTTCCTGTGAATAATTCCAATAAACCTTATTTGAATAGAAGCCCTAATACTAAGCATGACACACTGAATTTTTTAATTTGGTAATGATTACCTCAGATCATGATCATCAGCCATTATAGACAACATATAAAACATATGAGAAAATTTTTCAGAGGCAGGTCATTATACACTATAGGAAATTTAATCAAGAAAACCATTATAGTAAGGTTTTTATATAGTAAAAATTTGGGTTCTGATTCACAGTGCATTATAGAATGGAGACCATTATAGAAAGGGCCATTATAGAGAGAATGAACTGTACACAATTTATTATTATTTATTGTTAAAAGTGTAAATCAACATTGTTTATCAACATAAATTACACAATGGTCATTGACCTGATGTATTTCAAAAATGAATTAGAATTTTAGTTATTGAATTTTAATTCACCATTTTCTTCAGAATTGCCTATTATAAATCAATCATTAATCAATTGTAGCAAGTCTCTTGATTCTAATTCTCATTCAACTTTTCTCTTATCTTGGATAATCTAACCATTTCTACTTCACTTATTTCTCTTGTATTCCATGTATGAATTATTTGATTGCACTATTAATTACCAAAATCGAAGAAATGAATTTACTAAACAATTTCAGCTACCATTTGACCAATAATTAAAAATCCTCAATGGGAAACTTTAGATATATGGTTGTTGGGTATCTCAGTGCCATCCTTCCCAAACATATCACACTTCTGTGCTTTTTTCTGGTTATCCTGGGGAAGATTATCTTCAAGGATAGAGAAATTAGGATGCATATTCATCTGGATTTTATGTAGGTCATCTGATTTTAATGTGTAACATAAAAATCCATATAGCGACCAAGAGAAAGAGCCACATAACGTTTATAAAAAAAAATGAATGAAGGTATTTTTTTCTTTACATATTTTTAAGAAATATAATATATATAGTAATAGGCAAATTATTTTTTTTTTGTATTATAATAAAATGGTATTTAGCTAAATTTGATAAATATATTTACAACAAAATAATTCTTACTAAAACATCTTATTAAAACATATAATAAATTTAATTAACTTTTACAACACAAATAATTTTTATTAAAACATATCTAACTAAATAAATTTATTTTTTATTTCTTTATAATAACCAGTTGGTAAGCATTATATTATAAATTAACTTTTATAATACAAAATAAACTTTATTAAAACATCATCTAATTAAATAAAATTAATCTTTATTTCTTTATAATAACCAGTTGGCAAGTATTACAACTACAAATTAATTTTTACAACATAAAATAAATTTATCTAATCAATAAACTTATTTTTATTTCTTTATAATAACTAGAGAGTAAATATTATACTATAAATCAACTTTTACAATATAAAATAAATTTTATTAAAACATCATCTAATTAAATGAATTTATTTTTTATTTTTTTATAACAACCAGAGAGTAAGTACTGTACTATACATCAACTTTTACAACACAAAATAAATTTTATTAAAACATTATCTAATTAAATGAATTTAATTTTTATTTCTTTAGAACAACCAGAAGGTAAGTATTATACTATAAATTAACTTTATAAATTTTATTAAAACATCATCTAATTAAATGAATTTTATTTTTATTTCTTTAGAACAACCAGAGAGTAAGTATTATACTATAAATTAACTTTTACAACACCAAATAAATTATCTAATTAAACAAATTTATTTTTTATTATTTATAATAACCAGTTTGTAAGTATTATATGATAAATTAACTTTTACAACACAAATAAATCACCTAATTAAATAAAATTAAATTTTATTTCTTTATAATAACCAGGGAGTAAGTATTATATAATAAATTAACTTTTACAACACAAAATAAACATCATCTAATTAAATAAATTTACTTTTATTTCTTTATAATAACCAGTTAGTAAGTATTATATAATAAATTAACTTTTACAACACAAAATAAACTTTATTAAAACATCACCTAATTAAATAAATTTATTTTTTATTTATACTATAAATTAACTTTTACAACACAAAATAAATTTTATTAAAAAATCATCTTATTAAATAAATTTATTTTTTTATTTATAGATGGTAAGTATTATATTATAAATTAACTTTTACAACACAAAATAAACTTATTAAAACATCATCTAATTAAATAAATTTATTTTTTATTTCTTTATAATAAAAGGGAGTAAGTATTTATAAATTAATTTTTACAACATAAAAGAAACTTTATTAAAGCATCATCTAATTAAATCAATTTATTTTTTGTTTATAGACAGTAAGTATTATATTATAAATTAACTTTTACAACACAAAATAAATTTTATTAAAACATCATCTAATTAAATAAATTTATTTTTTGTTTATAGACAGTTAGTATTATATTATAAATTAACTTTTACAACACAAAATAAATTTTATTAAAACATCTAAATTTATAGATTGTAAGTATTATATTATAAATTAATTTTTACAACACAAAATAAATTTTATTAAAACATCTAAATTTATTTTTGATTTATAGATTGTAAGTATTATATTATAAATTAATTTTTACAACACAAAATAAATTTTATTAAAACATCATCTAATTAAATAATTTTATTTTTTATTTCTTTATAATAACCAGGGGGTAAGTATTTATAAATTAATTTTTACAACACAAAATAAATTTTATTAAAACATCATCTAATTAAATAAATTTATTTTTGATTTCTTTATAATAACCAGTTGGTAAGTATTATACTATAAACTAATTTTTACAACACAAAATAAATTTTATTAAACATTATCTAATTAAATAAATTTAATTTTTATTTCTTTATAAATAACCAGTTGGTAAGCATTATACCATAAGTTAACCTTTACAACTTTTACAACATAAATAAATTTTATTAAAACATCATCTAATTAAATATATTTTATTTTATTCCTTTATAATAATAACCAGATTGTAAGTATTATAACTTTTACAACACAAAATAAATTTATTAAAAAATCATCTAATTAATAAATTTATTTTTTATTATTTACAATAACCAGCTGGTAGGTATTATATTATAAATTAATTTTTCAACTCAATTTTTATTATAACATTACCTAATTAAATCTATATGATTGTTACTTTTTATAATAACCAGGAGGTAAGTATTATATTATTAATTTACTTTTATAATAAACCATCTAAAGCCAAATCAATTGATTTTTATTTAGATAGTTTAATAAACAAATTAACTAACAAATTAAATAATGAATTGAATGATGAATCAGTTGGATTAATTAATTTATCAAATAAGTTACTTGAAACATTAAAAATATTAAAAAGTTGTTTTGTTTGTGAAAAAAATTTATTAAATAATGAAGTCAAAGTTTTACTTAGTAAATTAATAGGAATAAATTCAAAAATGTTTGATAAATTATCTGGAGAAATATCTGGATTAGATATTCAATTAAATAATAAATTATGTAATAGTTGCTAAGAAAGAAAAATAGAAAAATCAATTAACGAATGTGGAAATAAAGAAATGGCTAGATTTCTTTATCAATATAAATCAGATTCAAAAACTATTAAATGGATTCCATTTAATGAATTGGAAAATATTGAGTACCTAGCTCAAGGTGGATTTAGCAAAGTTTATAAAGCAACATGGATTAATCATTATGAACCATTTTTCAGAAATTTGGGAAAAAAACTGTTGTATTAAAAAGATTAAATCATTCTATAAATTATATCTTTGGTATTTTCAAGGAGGTAAAATATTTAAAATTTTATTTTTTATAAAATATTATTATTAAATTTTAATAATTCATAACAAATATAATTTTTAGTTAGAAGCAAATGATAAACTTTATTTTTCTGTTAATAAATGTTTTGGAATTACAAAA